GGGTGGCCAACAAAACTCCATTACACCCTCTCCATGATCATAATTTCAATTTAAAAGTTTCGCAACTTTGTTTATGTCGAGTTCAAATCCGATGAGTCAGGGGATATGAGACCTTAGCTACATAAATATAGGTAAATATAAATTGGGTTGATCCCTTCTATATTATTGCTAGAATGTTGGAAACTCAGATCAATGGAATCTAGATAGTATATCTCCCAGGCCCACATTAAACAAAAGACGTCTGTGTCAAATCTACGCAATTAGTTTATTAAATTCGAAAATGTTATACTACAAAATAGCTTGGTCTTTATTATACCTGTCAACAATTATATTTTTGACAGAGGTATATTATAAACAGTTATATTTAACGTTGAATATCCATTATCTATTCTATTATGTTAATATTTATGTGAATGTATAAATACATTTTTCAATATTAATTACTTACTAGATGCTACCTAGAAATTCTATTACAAAAATGTTCTATTATTTATTTAATAACATGCTTTTCTTTATCAATCTTGTTAATTTTCATCACACATTTAATCATTTAATTTAATTATATTTATATTAATCTTTTAGAATTTTGACAAATGATGCTCCATTTATATGCATAAATGATCAAAGATTGGAATATTAATAGTGAAATTCAAATAATATTTCATATTTTTTACTTTATTTACTGTTATTCAAAAAGGAAAGTTTTCTTATAAATATAAAACTAGATCGTAAACATCGTAAATATAATACGGCTATAGAAATGATATTGAACTGTATAAAATATTCAGTGCAGCTGACGATGTTATATTAGGATTGGAAAATGTAAACATTGGATTTTATTCTTACTCAATATAATCCCCACATATGAAAAGTAAATATTATTATTTAATTACTAGCTGCTTGCTCCGGTTTTGCACGTACAGTATAATGACCACAGAGTAAAGATTTTTTTATCAAAATTATTTGCTTTTCATTTTCTTTCATACAAACTTTATCCTTACAATTATAAAAGCAAAAAATGAATGAACCAAATAACTGCTGCCTCTCTGAAGTGACGTTACATACATTTAGCAATTGATTTTTATTTATATAGATATACTGAAAATACGTTCTTTTATTATCAAAAATCAGTTACAATTATATTATATAAGTATAATTATAAAATAATATTCCTTGGCCTAAGATTATATAGATTCCTTCTTATTTATACAAACAATACCCTAAAACATTTCCAAACTCTTGAACCCATGTTTTAAATGGAACGTAGGGCTCTTTTCTGTAATACATATATTGCATATACATCTGCAGTTTCACCCCACAGTAAAATAGCATAGGCCATAATGCTATGAAAATAGCTAAAATAAACAATTTTGGCCTTTGCTACGGTTGTTATATATATATATGTACGTACATACGTATTATGCATATAAATAGTAAAAACATTTCAATAAAAACAGTGGAACAAAATACAAGTATATTAAATATAATGATATAGTCGATATAGGAACGTTCCATCAAGAAGACACAGAAATAGTAAATTATATCATATCATATCAAATAAATATCATTAAGTTTCGTCATTGATTTTGATGGTTTTTTTTCTAAGAAGCTTTTATTTTTATAATGTTTATTGAATACTTATTTTAAAAAGAAGCGAAATAGCTCTATAAATATATGAGAAGTAAAAACGAAATTCGTTACTGATAATGGATCAAATTTCGGTATAAAAACAATATGATCTTAATCTTGTTTATTTTTCAGCGATAATAATGAGGTTATCAATTCACTTTTTTAAATTGTCTGGATATTAGGCGATAATACGCAAATTCTGAATTGTGCTTGATTTCTTTTATTAGGAAAAGGATTTTAATAATTATTTTTATATAAGACAGGGTTTAAACTCATTAGACTCATTAGATGTCGCTATTTTTTAATTATTTAAGTATTTACGATATGTGCTTGCTCATTTTTTAGCTTGATGGATATTTTGTAATTAGATTGTGTTAATTTTAATATATATATATATATATATATATATATATATATATATATATATATATATATATATATATATATATATATATATATATAGGATTTCTTAGTTATATACTATTAATAAATATAAAATTCTAAATAAACAAACATAGGTCATAAACAGTACTAAAAATAGATCATATAATTTATAATCATTATTAATCATCGATGTTTATATTAAAATGTGCCGAAATATTCGTACATTTTTAGAAAATACAATTTATAGGCGCGGTATTTCTTATTTAATAATACGTGTTCTAATACACTCATGCCTTGTTCTATGATAAATATTTATCCTTTAATTTAAATTCGAGCGGCAGGCTCGGCGTAGCATGTCGTGTATTACGATTATGTCAACGGCAACAGTCGTCAATTTGAAGTATCTTTTGTACAGGAATTTGAATCTTGGGTTTTTTTTTTGTATATGAATGCTACACATTTTCTTATTAGGTATTCGCATAAATTAAATACATTTGAATACAATCGAAAAGTATCCTTATATTTATGACGAATATGGCATTGTACATAAACCCATACTGTTTGCGAAGCGATTCAATTTCGCGACAACTCTACATTGAACATCTTTCCATGCGTATATGGATAGTGCGGTTTCTCGCGACCAAATTCAATTCGAAATTCAAACCAGTTTCTTAACAATAAAATTGTTCATTTATAACAATATTGTCAATTTTGCAAATTTATGTGACAGAAATTAAGATTTAATTATGAATAATAGAAAAAAGAGAAAAATATGAATGATTACGGCTGTAAATCCTTGATGTGATAGTCATAGGTATTTGAAGTCTGTTATTCTTGCGGTGAATGTAAGACATACGCATATTCCACCGAGCATATTAGTAACAAGTCAAGTAGAGTGATAACAAAGGAACGTGGCCTACTATGTGGGATACTAATTAAGATTTTGTTATATAAAACGATTTATTATTGATCACATCAATCTATAATGATGAAATCAGCACAAAAATAAACTGTTTCATTTCAGAAACATAAAAAAATAATCACAAAAATAGACTAGATTTTTGTTTGAAATAAAATATATGATTTTTAAATATATTTAGTATGCTGTATATCAAGTACATAAGTAAATATATATAACCAGTTATATTAAAGGTCTTATACTAGAAACCTAAAATAAGTATACTTGTTTTAATTCTATATTAAATTTTATAACAAAGTAACGTTATGTTTGATATTAGAACACAATTTTTGATATATCTTTTTTTATGTTATAAAACACATATCTAATGGCATTATCAATTTTATCTTTCATTAAGAAGTATGGGCGAACTTTACATGTTAATTTTGTTAAGATTTGCGAATACATACGAGTAAATGCACGAACATACGAAACTAACATCTAGAACTATGAAAATAATAAATAAATGGAACAGCATGATATTATTTATGAAAATAGTATATTTTTGATTAAAATAACTTGACCCTAAGAAATATAACGAACATCCTCTCGAGCCCATAAAATATTGAGGCAGTATAACTTGCCATACATAACATACCGAAACGCGTCGTAATAGATTTTGCCGTAATGCGTCAAACAACAATAATTTATGAGCAGATATTTGGCAAGCGCCGGACCCCGGAAAAGCGTGATAATTCTGTTGAGTGGGTGCAACGTTTAAAGGCAACGCATGTTTCATTGCAATACTGACTCGCATCGGAAAAATATTGACTCTATCTTATAAGGAAATTATATTGACACTAAAAAAAATTGGGTAAATTCAAAGATCTCTTGGAAATCGCTTAAAAATAATACACACATTTTTTTAAGCTGATTTCAAAGGTTGGTCTGATCTGAAATGAATAATTATTTTTGCAATTATTACGATTTACTCATGTTGGATTTAAGTGTAATGTTATTACAATAAAATTTGCTGTTGAAGTTTGCTCTAAAAAGCGTGGTAAATATTTTGGATGACTGCAACGTTTAAATACAACGTACATATATTTATTTCATTGCGGTATTGATTCATATCAAAAAATATTTCTTCAACCATATAAAAAAATAATCCCGTTATGTGGTTATGTAAGTAGTAGTAGTTATGTATATAACAAAAAATATATAAGAGTTAAGAATTTATTCTTTTTAAACAATTTTGAATTTTGAACAATCTAACAAATTTGAATGAATCTAATCCAACTATCAAACAAAACAAATTTTATAAAAATCTGTCCGTCTGGCTACAACACACACAACACTGTCACAGATATAAAAATGGTACTATGTAAAACTCTTCAAACTTATTCCCTTTTTGCGTCTGTAATTATGAATAAAAATAAAACCAGTGTCAGGAAGAGTAAGCTCTCTACCACAGATTAGAATACGCTCGGCGAATTGTGAGCGAGTCATATTTAACTATGACATATTAAGAGAGGTCATACTGGACTGTAATCATTTTAAAACACCAGTCTTGATTTGTAAATGCTTTCTATTTGCACTTAAACGTAAAAAAAGTACTTCAATAATTCTTTTAAAGACAAATGTGATAAGTTGTATTCTTCCTTGTAAAATGCATGTAAAAGATCAATTTTCAATATAAGATTGTCATAATAATGTTTATTATTCCTTATTATGGCTTCCTTATTTCTCTCAATGGAAAATTTAGAGAAAAGACAAACAGAAACGGTCTCAGTGGAATATATTAGAAATGCAAAGAAGCACAGCCACTATCCGTAATGCAAACCAAACATTCGGAGAGCGACTGCTGAACTTACGGCTGAAGCGACTAAGGAATTCGGCGTTTGAAAAAGGAAATTTAAGAAGTTTCATCGAGCAACGAAATAGACCATTAAGCAAGATTATTAAAGAAAAATAAAAGTAATAAAACAAGTCGTGCGTATCGTGTAGAAAAGAGAGGATGCTTGGGACGTGTGAGGGTGGGTCGGGAAGGGCGGCTAGAAGGCCCAGCAGCCCAGTCGGTAGTCGACACTCGGGAAAGCAGTACATGCGCAGGAACGCACTTGTCGCAAACTTTTCCATTTCTCCGTGACACGAACTGAACGCGCGAACATTTCAAATTTACGGCATTTAAACAAAATGTGATGAGTTTATACTAAAGAACAATAATAGAGTGACCATGTCGCCTTTCAAATTCATTTTTAGAATTATTCAAATTGTGTTTTTGACTCTGTTTATTATGTACTTTGACACAATAGTAAAAGGTCAAGTGCAAAGTGAGAAAATCCCGATCGGTAAGTGGATACTTGATAGACCAACTTATCGTATTACTTCATTAAGACAACTGCAAAATTATTTTTTTCTTATAAATTACAATTATTAAATTAATTTTCAGTTAATAATACTTTATTAAAGTATGTACTTATCTATTTTAATAGAGTAATTAAATAGAGAAAGAATTTAAAGTTTATTTTTATTTAGTGAGACAGTTATTTAAACATAAATGTATTTGAAGTTAACATATTATTAAATATTTAATTACCTGATTAATATACGTATATATATTTTAAGTTTTATGACTTAAAATATGAATAATATAAAACGGAATATGAAAAATAATTTAAATTTTATTAAAAACTTATGGTATAAACTTCTGCCCGGAAATCGGAAAAAATAAATTTTAATGTGGATCAGTTTGTTTATATATATGTTTGGATAGAAAACAGATTTTTGATGTTTGTATAGAGTATAATAGTGATCTTACTACGCAATTATATTAATTCCAATGTTGTATTTATACACTTTTATATTTCTATTATTTAGTTTCTCTGTATTATGTATACTTTGTTTGTGTACACAAAATTCACCTGTAGCGACGTTACCCGTAACTACTTTATTTGAAGAAAATCACATGAATACAGTTCAATAAATTAATATTACTACTTTATATATAAATTTTGTGATTGACCCCTTTTTTCGGAGGACTGTAGTCAGAGTATTTTATACTATTTTAACAAAAAGAAGTTCTGGCTGACTGGCTTACTGAGTCGGAACAATTGTATATAAAAACAAATTTACACAGTAGATTCATTGTATACGGAGGCATAAGAAAGGATTTTCGAAAATCTCAACTGGTAAAAGGAGATTGAAAATTTACGGACTTCCTTTAAAGGATATTCGTCAGTTTTAAACTCGAAAATATAAAACTTATATATATATATATATATATATATATATATATATATATATATATATATATAGTTTTCTCGCTACTACGTACGCGTCAATTTCAAAATACACCAGTTTTGATTGATCTTCAAAAAGCAACACAACAAACAACACAAAAGTAGTAGTTTCTGTGCGATGCTAAAACAAACAGACAGATATACAGACAGACAGAAAGACAAAATTACAAAGTTGTTGTTTTGGCTTCTTATGCTCCTATTAAAAGTCCTTTCATATTTTTTTTTAAATATCATCCATGCACAAATTATAATTTGTATAAGAAAAAATATGCCCCTAAATTAGACATTCATATATAAAAGTGCTTTAGTAATACTTTAGTGCTGGAATATATTAATTTTATTATTTCATAGTCTAATGAAATATTGAATCAGTAACTATTATTGTATTTAAAAATAGTAGTTGAAATTACGCCATTTTGAATAAAACTTGAAAAAAATAATATATCATATGTCATATTTACTAAATATAATTACTACAGAATTTTAATAAAAATATTTTAAGAAAACATATTTCTTTTAAATATTTCTCTCAAAGTGCTGAGAAGTATAAAAGAAGTTAACGGCATAATAAACGGTATTATTGGATGCATTAAGACACAAAAACGGCTTAGGCCATTAAATTAATATAGCACCGTAAATGTGACAGGAACCTTATTGCTTATTATTATATTATCATCTAATATTACAGGAGTTTTATATATAATAATGATTCTTTAAATACTAAGTGCAATAAACTGTGATTAGTTGTATTCTTTATTCACGCGTCAATTTCAAAATACACCAGTTTTGATTGATCTTCAAAAAGCAACACAACAAACAACACAAAAGTAGTAGTTTCTTTTAAATATTCAATAATCAATTTAAAACATATTTCTTTTAAATATTTCTCTCAAAGTGCTGAGAAGTATAAAAGAAGTTAACGGCATAATAAACGGTATTATTGGATGCATTAAGACACAAAAACGGCTTAGGCCATTAAATTAATATAGCACCGTAAATGTGACAGGAACCTTATTGCTTATTATTATATTATCATCTAATATTACAGGAGTTTTATATATAATAATGATTCTTTAAATACTAAGTGAAATAAACTGTGATTAGTTGTATTCTTTATTCAGTAAGTAGGTTTTTTTTTATAACATTGAAAAATATAAATGTGCTGATGGTATACTGAAAACGAGATTTCCACCATTGAAATAAACAATATTAGTCGATAATGGGCTACCTGATTCTGAGACGCTGTTTGTCTAATTTTATCGCTTAATCAAATATTTTAAATCAATAGTTCCGAGAAAATACCGTTTAATGGACCAATTAAAGTTTAGTTCATATTGGTCCTTCGAATAAAGATTTTGCTGTAATATCAAATTTAAATTTAAGAAATGTCTCCTTAAAATTCTCAATGTCACACATAAAATATTTGGACTATGTTGTTATTATGTAAGAATGTAATAAACAAATTATATAAGTATAACCATACTGAACGGGGGAAAGGGTTTGTTAGAAATTGTTTGGAATGGCTCCACTGCCAGCAATACCCCTATCAGGTCGACCACCATGCGGTTCTCCCTGGAAACCATCGTGGTTAATTCTTGTCGAATTATTCACGATGGGCCGACTAACCTGCCTTCACCCTCATTTATCATCTATCACTGATGAATCGCCAGCGTTTACCAATAGCGCAGGCGAGGTTATCATTCCATTTTCACCCAGTAAACAAAAACATACTGAACTAAAGCACAACACAATAGCACAAGAGAAGGACCACTCAATATAACTATACCAAACTGACGGGCCAATGTGGTAAATAGGCTAATAGGTGAGAAGGCAATCTACTATCCTCCGGCTAAAATCTCTAAACTGTTTATATAGACTTATAACGCAAAGAAAAACCTACTAAATTAATTCTTGCGAAAGCTGATACACTTACAATTTAGGTTCTAGTTTCACAGTTTACACAGAGTACATTTTACTACGGAAAAATGTTTTTAGGAAAAAGAGAACTAAAAGAATATAGCAACATTGGAACTGTTACGTTACTAATGTAATAAAATAGTAACTTGACGATGTCTGTACATAGAATGTATTTCAGAAAAATTAATATGAGTATTATTAGTAATCACCATACCATTCATACGGTTCTTAGTAATAGGTTTTTTTTTTTAATTTTGTCTGTCTTTCTGTCTATCTGTTTGTCTGTACGCTTATTTTGACATCACCCAAAAATTACTACTACAAATTGAACGCAGTTTTTATAGTTGTGTTCCTGACGATCAAACTTAAAATATAGTCTGTTTTATTTTATTAATCCAGCTAAATGTGTTTTACTTCTAAACTCCATGCCTACAAAATAACGAGCAGAAAGCTAGTATAATACATATAAGTACGAGATATAACAAGCAAATAATATACTGTTTTTTTTTAAATAACTAAAAAAAAATGCTGTGTTTACTTTGAACAAGACTTGGTCTCATGTGGTGCCTGCAAAATGCTTTCTCATCCTCAAACTGAAAGTAGGTAACGAGCACATGATACCTCTTAAGTTGCATGCGTTCATAGCTTACGTTAAGCGCTAATCACCTGAATATTATGGTTATAAACAAACCGTATAAAGTAACATTAAGGGTATACGCATACGAACAATGTTCCTCGGGGTCTTTTTGTGTGAAATAGAACACGAACTGCATCCCATAACGCACACGAAGAGTGGCGAAGGACGGGCAATGTTTTCTCATTCCCAGAACGGGTAACGGCGCATGACACCTTTTAAATTGCAGGCGTTCGGGTAAAACTAGGGATGCCCAAAGTATACATCGCGGTATCTTCGGAGGTTGTAAAGTGAACAAAGGCGGCTCGAAACGCATAAATGAAAATGTAAAAAAATCTTTATCGCTATGTTTCATTTTATACATATAAACTATGTGTATCTAAATATAATATAAGATAATATATTTTTTTTATTAGATTATTAGATTTTAACAGCACAATTATTAGATTATGAAATAAAAATTAATATTTAAGATTAAAAATACTCATCAAAGTTTGAAACGTATAACTTCTCAAATTATAGGCGTAACATTTCCTAAAGAAACAGCGATCCTATTTATTTACCAGACCGATTAAGAAGCTATTTCTAAATTTATAAGTAATCATTACTTTAATAAGCTTGAATCGAAAACAATAGCAAAATTATTAAATTACCTAATAAGAATTAAGAATAGATGCAGTCATGCGGATATAACAATTATAAAATATTTTTATTCTAAACTTAAAAACAAGTATATAAATAGTTAAGCTAACTGCATAAAAAAATATATATAGAAAAATAATTCCTCCTTAATTCTTTTTACTGATTATAGTTGCACGATTAGACAGAATTACACAGTTTTTGTTTAAAACCATACAATTCTGGTTGTGACTGTATTATTCTAAATAGTAATTGTGAAATGATGTTTTGATTCAATTTAGGGTTAAATTAAAATGATTAACATTTTTTTAAGAAAGTATTCCACTAATTAGTTTCACTGAAATAATTCTTAATACGATGTACAAACTATATATTAAGACCAATGTAAGAAGTATAAATGTTGTCATATAATGAAAATGATAAGTATGAGTGAAGCTTATCATAAAATGTAGAAACACGATTCTTGGCACCATCAGTTCCTATAGTACTATATGTTTGTCTGTCGTCTTTTCAAAGTGTAATTGAAAAATCAGCTGCATTTAATATTTGAAATAAATCTCGAAACAACAGGTGGGGTGACAAAGGCCACTCAAGAATTCAGACTGATTTCTACAGAGTCGTTTGAACTGAATATGCAAATAGAATCGCGAGGAAATCTTTACAGTAGTATTATAGAAACAGAAACAACAAGCATATCGTATTTCATATTTTAAGTATTCATTAACATAGCTATCTTTACATTTTAACCCTTTTCGTGGGATTTTAAAATTAAGATATGATTTATCAGACACAGTGAAACGCGTCCTTTGTATTTTATTATTTTCAAATGACTTTAAAAAGGAGGAAATGAAAAGATAGT